TGTGTCCCGTCCTCTCCAGTCTTTTCCTTCATCGCGGACATCAGGCAAGCTTAATCGGGCCAGGGTTAATTCCGTGGTCCCGGCGTGGTTCAAGACCACATGCTGGGGCCCACAAGAAGTTCATTGATCTCAATTTTTTATATCAACCAAATTTGCTGAAACTCTGTAATAGTTAAGGCGTACATTTAATATTAAAACAAGCTTATTTAGACTTCAGAAATCGCATTAATATAATACAACAGAGGTTTATGTTGTTGAGTCATTTCGAGCTGGACATCAATTTGTAGTACGTGTCAAATGGCACAGAAGTGCTTTTAGCCAGTATTTACCTGACGGTAGGTATTGTCTTGAAGGTCACACTTGCAGATTCTCGACCGATTTCGTCGCAACTGATAGAAGCCCAGTTTGAATAAGCACGAGTTGCTCCAGTAAGTCCACGGCTGACAGCCATTGAAGCACTCCTCAAGTTTGCAGGCGGTCAGGCAGTTGCCGAGTTTTACGCAGGTGCAAGTAAAACCATCCAAGCATGTGTCTGAAAGGAAGGTGCTATTGGCTGTGGCGTTTTCACAGCCAGGGGAATATCTCCAGCGACAAATTCGAGACATTTTCCTCAAAACGGTGAAGCAAAAGTTAGTCGCTTCGGGAAAAAAAGGATCGTAAAAGTGACACGTTGCCACGGAAGCGAACTTTGACAAACTTCGATTTCCCTTAACGATGTTCATCTCCTTTACTTAAACCCTTTTAGTTGTTACGTAACCATCTTTCGCAGCCTCAAAACATTGAAATGTTATTAGCAGTATGTTGTGTGCTTTATCGATTTACCGATATCTTGGTGACCAAAACGTAAAAGCTACAATTTGAACAAATGAAATAAACATTATGAGCGACTCTTTGTACGCGAATCTCCCATTTACCCGACAGTTATAAAGACCGGTAAAAGTATTACCGTAAACCTTATGTAGATGGTAACAACTGGTGCTACGATGCATGGGGAAGTAGTCAAAGCAGCACAGCCTCAAATGGACAGCATGCAGCTTCGAAAGTTATAATTTTGCTGGATGACATTAAGCAAATACCAACTATCGTCCTGTTCACCGAGAACGTTAAAAATATGTTATTCTGGGGTTTACCATATGAATTATTCTTTGTTACGGCTCAACACTTTTCAAGCCTCATAATCTATTGTGTAACAATATTCTCACATGTTCATCGCAATACAATTAGCTGACTTCAGTATGCAATTTTGCTTCAGAATTGTAATAGTTCTGTCCGAGTGTCCTTCCACAGACTAAAAACCGATAAAATAGTCTAGCAAACACCAAGAGATAATTGACCAATCTTGTGAACATGGAATCAAGTGGGATTTGCAAGCCAGTATTTCTCCACCTTTGAACCGCGAGACCTTAAAAAATCCTATTATACAGTCTTATTCGAGGTCCATATTGCTAGTGTCCGATCAGGAAACCAACAAGCAGGCAGGAACGATAATTTTTCATAAGGTTATTAAATGTAGCCAACAGTGGTCAATTGACTTGGGCTCATTACATCTAAGATTGGTTTTGGATTAAAGGCAAGAGAACCGTTGCTAGTTATGCCATCATACTCTGTAGAACTGGCTGGAGGCGAAGACCATGTATGAAAACGTCGCAGCAAATTGAACCTTCGATATTTTTGATGTGAAAAATGAGGGGGAACTGATGTTTGGCTGTCCAGTTTCAAGCATTTTCGTATGCGAAAATTTATTAAGGCAATGATTAGCTATGTTATTCTCCTCACAAACCGCTCTCCTTTCAGCAGCATACAAATCTAATTTGTATTTAACGAAATACGACGACGTTCAGCCATTTCGAAACCTCCGCAGTGGCTTCACCAAATGCGACCCATTTAGCAAACGAGGGTTAGTGAAATATATACTAGTAAAATGTTTACACCACCCACTAGAATCCACAACTCGTCTATCCAGCGACGAAAACGTGATAGACAGATGCATATTATTCGACCAATGCGCTCTACGTTACAGATCATTTTTTGCAAACAGCCAGCTTTAACACTGAGTAATGATTCGCCTCTATACGGAGTTTTTAAAAAGCATGCTTATGTCACCAACATGGATATCGATGATACTGCCGGATGAGGATGCGTCACGTAATACATATTTTGAAAAGAATTACCTCTCTAAATATTTAACCAAAAACTAAAAATTGCCATATGCTCAAACGATGACGATAGATAATAATCAAATCCCAAACATCGCTAATGACCAACCTTTTAACTTGATCCTCAAGAAGTTTGTCACACGCCATAACCTCGATGTATATAAAATCGGCAGCCTCATTTCTGAACCAATCAGTTATCTACTACGATATGTCCCTAAAGTGACCTTTATTAGGACCACCACCGCAGTGAAGCGTACGTTGCTTTGAGGAGTGGAAAGTACAGAGATGGGAACACAGTTCGTGAGCATGTGCTTTGCGGCATTGTCGACATCGACAGTTAGGAACTTATGAAAAAGAGTTAAATGCAACAAATTGACGCATTCGTTAATTTAAGGTTCCGAACCGTACATTTGAATACAGACGGACGGCATCAGCATGACGTGAATGAGAAGAGTTGTGACTACCAGAAAAGTAGTAAAAGCCTGTGTGAGAAATGGCCTGAATACCCCAAAACAGAAGAAAAATCAAAGTTTGTCCCAATTTAATACGATATTTACAAAAAATGTGGCGAAATAAACATATAGCTACCGAATTTAACACCCTACAGTTTCAGAAGTTAAAATAAGGGAAAACTAGAGCTGACGAGAAAAATTTGTACAGATTCAGAGGCTCGAAAAAGCGTCCACTCGGTGTTTGCTCATTGGAATTGCCAAGCCTTGCTCTTCGTCAACAGAAACCTCATGAGGCAATCCATTGAACTTATACGCCACGTAAAGCTGCCGCAAGGCTTGGTTTCCACGGCACGCCGCGCGTCCCAGTCCAAAACAGGGGTTGTAGAAGCCCTGAAGGTCAGCCCAGCGTCCAGGCGGCAAACGTAGTTGGTGATTTTCCACAGACGCTTGCAGAGGAACTGTCACATCAATTGACAGAGGTCCTCCAACGTCAGGTGTGAGAGGGACGGCTGGTGAATCGGGTGATAACAGACCATAGAGCGCTCGAACAATCACAAGGCCGTTGGAGTCCTTTTCTTCCTTCGAAATACGTGCCGCGGTATGTTGCATGAGGGCCTGGGTAGCGAGCGCTTCGTTTCGCAGTTGGCGCAGCTCATTTCGTAGCCTTTCACGACGAATATCCTGGGCTTTTTTCAGCTGTGCACGCATCCAAGGCTCACATACAAGGCTTCGGATGACCCCGTAAGTGAGGCCTGGAACAAAGACACCGTAGCCAAAGGCGGCAAGATCCCAACCCTCTGAGAGTTTGAGTGGCAGCACGTAGGACTGTCCGCCGCGGTGCAAACCTAGTTTCACGCTCAAGCCTTGCAACCAGCTGGCACCGAATTCGCCGGAGAGGCGCGTTATCTCCGACAGTACGCAGTTGACGCCAGCACGCACTTCAAACAAATCGTAGGTGTTGCAACTCAGAGAAAGGGAAACGCGGCCCTCTTCATGACCAGACCCGGAGATGAGGTCATCTTCCTCATTTAAATTTGCCTCCCAGTCTGAGAAATTCCTTTTAGAACCCTGGTGGGTTGAAGTTGTCATGAAGGGGTTGAGCCAGGGCCAATTCACAACTGACTCCATGCGGAGGGTAAGTGAAGCGTTGCCGTTGTTCGAGAGACGGGTGTGCACTCGACAATTCCGCTCACCTTTTTCAGATGTCCAAAACACCTCAGCCGATAGACCACCACCAAGGTTCCACTTATATTGCAACTGAGAGACGATACGAGGGGTTATTTGGACAGTTGTGCCAACCGAGAGCCCAGGAATGAGGCTGAAAGCAGCACTGGTATTGCGTGTCACCGAGACGACCTCCATGCCCAAGGATCCGTTAACGCGCTCGTGGAACGCCTTATGCACTTTCACTGAGGCCCCTAGCCCCCGGCCACCACGGCCGTAGGACAGCTGAAATGTGAATGAGGGATGTTTTAGCTCAGGCTTGCTCATAATATGTGCATAATAGCACAAATATGACTACTAAGATACGATTCCTTTATAGGTTGCGAAGGTAAATAACCTGTTAAAAACGAAATCAAAATATTCTTCAGAATGTACTGAATTGCAGAACTAGTGAGTTAACTTACGATTGTTTCGGTAGTGAAAGCACCAATGACGGGTGTTTTGGGCGGAAATCGTCGCTCCCAGATGGCTAAAAGTGTCCCGATGCCGATACCGTTATGCGCGGTTACATGACCCACCAGATTAACGGTGTTCCGTAGGGTGCGCAGAGCAGTTATGGACTGAGAGAGCGACACATCATAAACCGACAGGGCAGGCGAATACACGCGCTCTTCTGGTGCCTCCTAAGTTGGAAAAAAAGGCACTGGATGTCTACAAACTGCAATGGCTGAAGTATTTTGGCTGAAAGTTTCAGGCGGTTTGTATATTTAAGCCAATTAAACACATTCACTGGGAACTAGAAAGGTTAATATTTGTGTGGCAAAAGTAAAACAGGTGACTTCGAATTAGGTGACTTCGAAGTAAAACAGGTGACCTCGGATAACATACGTTTAATTGTCGCTATGATTCGGAATAATTTTAAAATCTTACCTGGTAACCACAGATTTGGCTAAACGTCTACTAGAAAACCAAATATGCTAATCCGAGGGGCCGAATGGATTGCGGACACCACACGGTATTTGATAAATTTCGAGAAAAATGAACGATTAAGACACCGTAATCAAAATATTAACAAAAAATACATCCTCTAGAATTAACTTTAACGGAATCCGCTTTCTAGGTGAAGTTTACTTAGTGAGGTCAGGTCCATGGCGCATGCAAGATCACTGTCAAGTTAAAAACCTATCGCTTTGTACCTTTTTAAGTAACTGAAACTAGGGAGCACAATTAGTCTGGGCTAAACTGTGGTGCGCACGAAAAACTTTACTCAACGATATATACAATCATCACCGCTGGCACGACAAGCACGGCCTGCAGACTGAATGCACGAGCTTTTTATATTACGCAAAACTCGACTGCAACCATCAACTATCGAGAAGTTGCAGTGCGTTCGCAGAAGTACTACAATTATGGAAAGGTCTAGCAAAGACAACTTGGAATGAATTTGGAGCACCAAAACAATTATTTAGAAGAACACTGTGGCCCCAACCTTTGAATAGACTATGACGTGGTCGCTAAGTATCTCCTAAAATCTGATGTAAGATTAAATTTACTTATAACATGTAGGAGAGGATTTACGAGCAAGGCTGGGACAACAAACCACACACGCAAACCCTCTCTCAGGTAATTAGATATCCTTTGACAAAATGTAGTACTTCTGAGAATTCCAAACAACTTCCAGACGAGATAGTGGTTTATGCATGATAAGAAACTCCGCTACACAACCAATGAATGTATTTTTCTTTACTGATTCAAAGGCAAAGGTTTAGTACAGGTATCAGAACCACGATTACGGTCTATTAACATGCGATCTAGGTTCACTAACTACTTAATTCCATAAACACGCTGATTTTATACGAGGAATTGATGGTGATTAACCACACTCAAATAATCAAGGAGCTCATTTATAGACAGATTGTTAATTCTGCATGCAAAGTTTACGATGAAGTGAAGCCATACCACGTGTACCAGGCAAGAATGCTTTACCTTCAAGTACCGGTCAAAAAAATCGGTCATGTCAACACCGACGGAAACTTCAGAACTGGGTTGTAAAAGGCGCTCATTCTCTGTTTCCTTAGCCTTCAACTTCAACAGCAGATACTCCAAACGTAACTCCGGGGCTGATTTATTCCTCACCGCCAGTTCCCATCCTTGGATGCGTAAACCTGCAAAGGAAGCAAGGGCGAAATGGCCCTAAGAACGGAAGTGAATAAAAAGGGTCCACCACTTTCACACCGATATAACCTCAGTCAAACGTTTGTAACCTCAATAAAAATCTTCAGTTTTTGGAGGAGGCGCAGATTCACAATAAATTGTCTTTTGTAAAGTGGGACCCCAAATCAGCTAAAACTTTAATCAGACTTTTATTTAAACAGGATATTTTAGGATGGCAGATGAAGAGTGCAATTTACACTCCTTGATAGTAAGAGTTATTTTGCATTGTCAGAGTTTTACAATATTAAAGGTTAGCTGCCAGCAATGACACCGAAAAGAAGCTGAGGCAGTCCGAGAATTACCCGGTTGTCTCGAGTCTGAACTTAAACGTTAATGTCGTTTATAGGAAAAGAAATTAATTAGTACAGCAATCCAGCACTTATATGGGATGCGTGCAAAGTTTGAAGGGCGAAATGCGAAAAATACCAGACGCAAACACAAGGCAGTTCCTAGAATACTTCAGAAGCCACACAAAGGCAACTACCGAAAACACCTGGGGCGTATCGCCAGTAAGCCCACTGGACAAACGACAAAAAAAAGAGTAAGAAGTGGGTCGCTCACTATGGAACCAAGTCTAAAAGAGAACGATCAAACAACAAAGATGGGCGTGATGGTTCATGATCTATTAACAATATTACATTGAAACGTGATCGTGAAAGAGTAGTTGAAGCAAAATATTTTCGGTGCATCATAGAACTGAGAAACGTTAAGATCTGTTGGCTCAGTGTTTTGAACGAATCTATATCAAATAAGGTCACACTCTGCGTCAGCGTTAAATGCACAGCCCCTAATTGTAAACGTGGAACTTTTACACGACTGTAAAAATGGCATGTCCAGAGATTCCATGATAAAACTTAGGTTACTGGGAGATTTTCTTTACATTAGGTCATGACCTCAGTTGGAGTTATCAATATCGTGGGAAACTGCATGATGATCGTTATGGAGTTGAAGTCGGTTAAGACTTCAAATCTAATCGGACTTTAAAACATTTTTATCTACTTCAAAAAAGCAATATATTGCAATGGATTTAAAGTGATTCCCCTTGTTTTATAAACATGGATGAATATAATTTCCTTCGAAAGGGACAAGATAAATATTGGTAAGCACTTTTAGGAAATTTAAGTAATTGAGGTGAAAGTGTATTAAGATTACTATTCCTGTGCATACCGTTAAATCCATAACGATCATATATAGCACGTTTCTGAGGGTCACTGAGGATGTTGTACGCTGCAGTTAGTCGACCGAAAGCCGCCTCAGCATCGGCGCTCACGGCTGAATTGCCTTGTGCATGTTTGTCGGGGTGTAGGAGACGCGATAGTCGCCTGTAGGCCCCCTTGATCTCCACATCGTTGGCGTCACGAGCCACGCCGAGGACTGCGTAGAGGTCAGGCGTGGGATCTTCCTCGTCGTCTTCTTCGAAGACAGACAAGAAACTCGGGTCTACCGTCGTTGCATTTTCATCGTCTCCATCGTCCACATCAGTTGTGGGCTGAACACGGCTGGCTGAGTAAAACCGGGCTGTGTCATGGAAAGCACTCCCACTTTCAGCATACATGCCTCACTGGTTAACAAGCAGAATGAGATAGTGCTCAGTAAAATATATACCAAGTTTTATGGCAAAGTTGACGCGGCTATTGTGTATTAGCACGTGAACAAAATATTAAGCTAGGTAGTTAAGTTGCAAGAACCAGCAGACATTAATATGAGATTTCTCTAGAAGGAACAACTCCATAAATCGTCCAAGAAACTTAGGAGAAACTTTGCTCCATCAAAGTTCTGTACGGCTAAATACTAATTTACATCATGACCACCGTACTTGTTAAGGCAACACAAAGCTATACTGTAAAAAGCCTATTTTGGCACATAAATACGGCCTATTGGCCTATGACATCGATGAGATGTGATGTTAGCCACACTTCAAGCATGAAAACGAAAGTCCTAGAAATCGCTGTACCCGAGGGTTGCTTTAGTTGCCCCAAATTTGGCTTTCAAGCATACCTTTTGAAATTTAGTGCTTGTAGAAAAAACGTTACAGCAGCTTAATACTAATAAAGCCAGGCAACTGTCGATCGGCGAAGTGGATTCTCCACAGGCGCCAAATATCGCAACATTTAAATTAGTCGAACACACATCTTCCTCTATAGTTTATTGACTAAAAAACCATTTGCCATTTAGATGTAAATAAAGTATGAGGATACATAGAACCACTTAACAGAACCTTATCAGTTGAATTTTCCCTAGACCATGCAGATTACACAGCTATGGACTACCTTGGAGCGAATGTCGTTCTCGGGGCCGCAAGCGCTCAAATAACACAATAAAGTCGTTCAATTAAGAATATATTGAAACAGTTTAGTGGTACAAGGTGAACGAGATTAAATGCTGAGTTAAACACTTGGCGATCACTCTTCGTCAGGTGCACGCGGATCCCGAGGCTTCGGTCCACCTGCAGGTCTCGACATTATAATCTAAAAAAGTACCACGACTCGATAAATTTCGAATTAATTCCCGAAGTAAGTAAGTTTAAATAAAGCTCACTTGGTCCACACGAAGAACAGTACACGCTGCGCTTGTGGCAAAGCGAATGGCCCAGTATTTAGCCCCGTGAAGATCGAGAATATTGGCTTCCCTGGCGTCACAGACAGTTGAATCCAGTTTGGCAGATGTTACAAAGCCAGAGTGAGTCTGACCTGACTGATGAGCAGCATAAAGCTGGGCAATTATTTCGGTTGCCTTCTCACCGGCATTCTCCGAAAGAGCCTTGGGAACAACCTCATAGGCGTGGGCATATTCGCGAACAGCATACTGCTCGAGACCAGGAATTGCATCGGCAAACGCTAGGAGACGTCGAGCCAGTTCAATCTCGCAGGCACCAGCGCCAGCAACAACCTTTTTGCAGCGAGTAAGTGCCTTGTACGTGTTTACACCATCATCGACTGCACGCTCGATGTCGTCCATTATGTTGTCTGTGCTTCCACGAATGACAATAGTGACCATTGCCTTCTTGCTTGAACCTATAAGCAAGACCATACACCATGAAGCGGTTTTACCAAAAAAGAAGGGACACGATCTACAACTTATATGAAACAGTAATAGGAAAAAATGAGACAGAATAGTACATTGTGACAATCTCGTTATAAAGTATACAATCCAATTTTAGAGTGGAGGAAAACAACGTCGATGAAATAGAAATTAAACAAAATTACGGCCAATAAGTGTCATTTACATACCCTGCTCAAATATGATAACATTAGTGTCTGCGATCTCATCGACATGAACACGTTCGACATAGCCGAGTTCTTCTGCAGTTGGAACGGTAAGTGTAGGTAAAACCGCAGCACCAGTAGCTTGACTGAGACGACGAACATCAAACTTGCTCACAAGCCGAACCAGCATGATGCCGCGTTTGTTGGCATAGTGCAATGCGAGCTCACTGATTTTGCCTCCAGACACGACAACTTTGACTCCAGCATCAGCAATACTGTCGATAATCTACGAGGAAAACAAGTGCATGGTCTAGATGATTTAATGAGGTAGAAATCGAACACCATAAAAAAAGGTAAATTTTGACAAAAAGCAGACCACATCATAAAATGCAAAAAGAGATGTCGCGATGCATTACTTTTTCCATTTGGCTTTCCTCCCCCTTCGAAAATTCTTTCAGTTCATCAGCGGTATGAAGCAAAACTGTCCCCTTTGTCTCAGTTTGTAAAGCCTCAAGTGGGCATGAATAAATAGCAATTTTTGATTGGCTGACGGACTGGACGTCGCCCTCAATATCGCGACGGAAAACCATTCCCTGAACCATGGAAGAACTGGCTACACCAGAACCCTTAGAAAACAAAAAGGTTATTTAAGGTGACGTTACAACACGCAGGCAGCAGAGATGAAGGCACTTACCAAAACTTTGAGGACCCTAACGTTATCCACATTGAAATTACCGTCCTCAGGCATTATTGAAACTATTTTCAGTTTATAGGTAAATCATAACCTACTGCAAGCGGATGTGATAAGTTCAGCGAGGAATTCACTAATGTTCAACTGCTTGCTCATCAACGACGTTTTGATAACAGGATATACTTCCGAGAAATCCTTTAGATTGTTAATCTCCTTGACAACAATTTCTAAGAACGTTATATAAACCGAATTATTTCAAACCATCAAGAAACTCGATAGCTTTCTTTGCAGCCATTTCATAGCCTTCAACAATTTGGGATACGGACAAACCCTGGAAGCATAATTGTAAAAACAAATCTATACCATCTTAAGAAGACCACGGGCATTATCTAAGAGCGCACCAGCCAACTGAAACACTAAATTGGTTCCATCGCCAGCTTCCTGTTCCTGCTGCTGCGTAGCAAGAATTATCATCTTTGCTGCAGGATGTTGAACTTCGAGTTCCCGAAGAATAGTCGCCGCATCATTTGTAACAAATTGCTTGCCAATATGGTTTATGACTATTTTATTCTGACCGCTCGGACCATAGGTAGAACGTGTCGTCTTTGCGATCGCCACGCAAGCCTCAATGTTACGATAAACTGCCTCTTCAAGACCCTCGAAATGCTAAAAATTGTGCGTAAATAATATACGGAAATTACTCTTGTCCCATCTTTCAGCATAGACACATAATTCGGAACCTTGGGAACATGAAGAGCCATATCAAACTACCAATAACCACGCTAAAATGTGACGAGCTGACCCACGCCTATACCGGCTATGCTAAACACAAATCGGGTTGGATCAATGTGTGCACATAAAAATATCTCCCAAAATCCTATCAGGCTTGCAATGCTAAAAAAAATTAGCACACTTTGTATTTTATCAGAAAATAAATAAAGCTTAATGTCAAAAAACAGGGGTGAAATGAACGGCCATGGGTCCAGGTACCGAATAAAGCTTCGAAGATAATCAGAAAAAATTTCAAAGTATTAAAATAACATTAATTTTAATTAATTAAGAAGTAAGTACATCACCTTAATTTATAATTATAATTGCTTTTTGAATCAATTAATCAAGTGCAAGATTGCAGCCAATATAATGAGGACAAAATCTAGAAATATATTTGAAATGAACGGGGTTACTCCGACTTCACAACACGTTACTTTCAAATTATTGCATCAAGGCATTACATATAATTATTCTGCCTCTTAGCTTTAATTTTAATGTAAATACAGCAAAACTCAATAATAAACATTTTTTATTTAACAATCACTTTTCTTTTGTAGTCAAAACGTGAATGCTGTTTTATTCGATAAGTTTCCTTTATGCCAATTTATCGCCACATCCTGCATGTTATATGAAATTTATTAGCAAGTATGTGATTAGTCAGACAAAATACTAATGATCTAAGAAATGTATGTGCTCTCTTAGACAATTAGAGAATGTGAATTACTCTTATCAGAATATTTGTGTTTTAAAAATTCAAGAAACAATGAATAGGAAACGCAGGGCCAATATCTAGCATTGAATCAACTGTATATTTTCTTCTTAATCATACTTATCAATCACTACGTACTTAGATAATAATGAGAAGACAGAACTCAGTACAACCTTGGCCGTTTTGGGGCTGCTAATCTCGTTTATCTGCTGTTGCCATGTATTTAAATGGTCTCAAGCGCTAACAGTAAGAGAACGAGCCGTTGGTTAGAAAACATGCAAATTTACTTTGGCTGGCTGACGTATTTAATGGTCGACCAAATAACTGTTTGAGCATATTTGAATAAATATGAAGAGCAGAAACTGTTGCTAAAATATGGAAAAAATTAGTGCTCGAACTTTGATGAATGTCATAAAATAACAAGATTTTTAGCAATTGTCGCAGCTCACAGTTTAATCAGATTGGTTGTTTTGTTTGTTTTGCTAGTAAGCATGTTTTTCGGACAAATTTCTGCTTTAATATCTTTATTTCGGTAATTTTATTTCATTTAATATATCGATCAAAATATTGCTACTCGTTAAGTGACTATTAAGCTGTCAGATAATCCAAAAGTTGCATTGTAAATATTTTTCGATGACACATATTTAAACCTACGGCTTGCCGATACCGGTTGCATTTATTTTCTTACTCATATTTTACTTGCGGATAATATTAAACCATCCAGATCATTGTTAGATTTCATGAAAACAAATCAATTTACGCATTTTGTCACAACCTTATCGTCCTACTGCTTATCTGGTTTATGTTGGCAACGTCAATTAAAACTGTTGGTCGTTTAGACATTGTAAATTAAACGGGACCCAAAGTGATGAAGACATATACAACAGATCCAATTTAAGTATAATGAAATAAATAGGAACCATTCTGTAGCAGGTTTCAATTGGAGGTAACTAAACAGTGTTCACCGCTTATAATCTGTTTCTTATACCCGTTTTCTTCGGTTGAATGGTGACCTATGTTGCCGTTTTTCAAGCATGCAGATAAGTGATTGGTGAACCTTGTGGTATTATTCAAAATGGCCGAGCTAAAAACCGGTATTTTGCTGCTTTTTAGTATCGGAGCTCAACTCAAAATAAAACTGTTACAAGGACAAAGATTTATTGACCAGCCAATAGCCAAATCTGCACATCTGACGCCATTTATCCGAGGCATGCATGCTGGCTGCTTCGCTTTTTATATGCTACATCTTATTCTCACTTGTCACTCTTGTATTTTCGCTGCTAAAGATTTTCTTGGCAGTTCATTCAAAGAACTAGAATGAAAAAAATGCAACAGAGCATCATTAAGGGGCATATAACAAGTTAAGACCATGAATCAGACGCCGTTTATCCGAGTCATATAAATTAGCTGCTTCGAAAATTATATAGTGCTTTCTGGTGGGCTGCTGGTATACTTCCTCATCCATTCAATCGGACAGAGACAAAGGAATTCCTTTGCTTGGCGCGATCTAGTATGTCTGCGCCGCAAATCAACAAAATGTTACGATGGAGAGTACACTTGCCCTAGTATGAAGAAGATGCGTAGAATACCCGAGCTCTAATAGGAAGAAGATTGGTACAACAGAACAGGCTTTATTGACCAACCACAAACTAGAGCCACAAGTCAGGAGTCTTCCATCCGAGTGCCCCACGCTTGCCACGCCGCTCAATATGAACTGCAACTTATTTGTGTCCTCCTCTGGTTGGCTGCTTGCCTTTCTCGCATGCCATTGGAATGCAGAGAGACGCAGGATTCCCTGAGGCTATCGTGGTACAATATGTCTGCGCCATCAGACGACGCCACACCGCCTCC